GGCACTTAACACCAACAATGGATCATTTGGAGTCCTGGTGTGGTGCTGTTGGATAACCACTGAACTGCTTACTACAAGGTTGGCAGTTCAAACTCACCAGCCACTCCTTGGAAACTCTACATAGGATTGCTATGAGTTAGAACTGACTAGATGGCACTTAATAATGAGAATGGATTATCTAATTGATCACACTAGACTTTCACCCTAATAACAGTAATGATATTATATTAAATATCTCCCATGTGCTAAATGGAGTCCTGGTGTGGAACTGTGGGTAAATGTGCCAGACTGCAAATCCGTTTGAACTGCAAGGTTGGCTGTTCAAGTTCACCAGCTGCTCCTCTGAAACCCTTTACAGGGTCGCTATGGGTCAGAATCCACTCGATGGCTCTTAACAACAACAACAACATGTGCTAAATGCTTTATTTCACTTTCTGTTTTCAGTCTGAGTCCCCACTGCTCTACCTGCTTCTCATGGTCTCAGTTTTCAAATTCCTATAATCAAAGGCAAGCAAACATATTAAGTCTCTTCTAACATAAGAAACTTTATTAGTAATACCTATAAATAAATTTTTTAGGGAGCTCTGGTAGCGTAGTGGTTACGAATCGGGCTGCGAACCTTAAGGTCAGCGGTTCGAAACTACCAGGTGCTCCGCGGGAGAAAGATGAGGCTTTCTACTCCCGTAAAGATTTACACCCTCGGAAACCCTGTACAGGGTCGCTATGGGTCGGAACCGACTCGATGGCACATAACAACAACAACAACATAAGTAAATTTTGCTAGGGGTAAAAACAAAAAAAGATAATATGATTCTTTAATCACCCTTGAATTTTCTAGCACTAAAACTGATGAACACATTTTGAAACTTTAATCAAATATTAAAGATTAAATTTATTTTTATCCTTTACTGAGAAATATTCCAAGACATACATAGTCCAAATACCATGCTCTTGACACTCCTTATCTGGAAAGAACATTAAAAAAATTTTTGGATTGAATAAACACATGCTCATGACTATATTTTTACATGTAATAACTACTTAAACATTAGAACAGTTGTTTGTTTTTAAATTGACATATTATAAGGATCTATTGACTGCATAACATTAAATTCCTGCTCAGAAATTTTCTCTTAACTATTCTGTTTTTGTCTTTATAACCCATTCTGAACACTATACAATGTCTGGTGTATTCTTAAAAGTCTGCAATGCACAAAACACTGACCTCATGCACAGAATTATTCTTGGTTAGGAAAGTTAACCCTGCTCCCTGCTCTGTAAGGGATCATCTCTGACAGCAGAAAAATTTTTTTTTTAATTTGAAAAAACAGAAAAGAGAAGAAAAAGGGAAGAGAGAGAAAGAAAGATAACGTGAGATCTTACTTCCACCTCACAAACTTACAGCAAAAAAAGACCCTTTTCACTGAACACTGGGAAATTAGCCCCTTGTCAGTCCTTCCCTGTGAAGCTGTCTCCAAAGAGATTTTCCTTTGCCAGATAAACAAATAGGAAGATAACTCAGGTATGAGGTCTATCAAATCTGAGAAAGCAATTTTTATAAGCAATCCAGAGGCTGCCTAGTGAGAGCCATTTATCAAGCATATTTATCTTATTCCTAAGAGAAATCTTGTAACAGTTATATCCTGCTAACCCTTTGTGGCCTAAACATCAGATTCTAAAGAGTAATTTCTTTTCAGGCCAGCTCCACTCTTACTTCCCCAAAGGAGAAGCCTGGAGATGGACAGCAGCTCCAATTCTCAACTGAGTAGTTTAACTCCTGAACAGCTATGGAGCCACACTCTTCAATTTCTAATAAGACTTTTCATAAAGTGAGAGGAAAGGAGAAACTGGGTCCATGCATAACGCAGGAGTTGGCTTGTCTGTCGTTTTTCAGTCTCAGCAATCATAAAGCTTAGAACAAAGGTATGGAAATAACTACATGCATTGAAGTTAGAGAAATGATTGTCTGATTCAGAGTTCAAGGTGTCCTTTGTGTTTCAAATATCTTGGGTGCAAGGTTAATTACTGAAAAGACACAGCAGAGAATCAGCTACAGGTCAATAAAGAAAAATACAAAACTTTGTGAGTTCCTTGTGTATCTCTTACTAGCCTACAAAGGTGATAGGCTTCTGGGCCATCTAGCCTAAAACTGGTAACAGTGTATTAATACTGTGGTACATTGATTAGCTATTTTTGACATATCGTTGTTATTGTTAAGTGCCATCGAGTTGGTTCTGAGCTGCTGTGCATTTGAACCACCAACTTTGTAGCTAGCAGTCCAGTGCTGGTCTTACAGTGTCGCACCAGGACTCCTGTCAAGAAGATAGTGCTTTGCAAAGGCCTGCTATTTGGTGAAAGGGGTAAGATAGTAATTTAATTCCATTGGAGTTGCTGTAGAGTTGTTGCTAAGTGCCATGAGGAGGTTCCAACCCGTATGACCTTGTATAGGGTTTCCAAGGAGCAGATCATGGGTTTGAACTACCAACTTTGTGGTTAGCAGTTCAGTTCTTATCCTACAGTACTACACCAGGAGTCCTAGAAATCTTAAATACCACATTTTGTTTTTTGTATCACAAGATCCAAGATTCCTGGGAAATTTTGAAAATACGTCTTTCCAAGAGCTGATCAAAAACCAGAGAAAATATGCCATCTTTTGAGGCATCTCTTGGGCGAATAGAAACATAGTCTACTCCCAGCAAATACTTCACCAGACGGGGAAGAAATATTCACAGCTCTGAACAAGTTTCTTATAGAATGTATGAAACTCAGTAGGGGGTGGGGGTGAAACACAAAAATAAAAGAGACTTCAAAGATACAAATCAAAAACTGAGATGCCAAGACAGCTGCATCTAGTCTGGGATATAAATGTGAAAGCCTTGCTGGCCATGCTTAACAACAACAACAACAACAACAGCAGCAGCAGTACATGGTAACACAGTAGCAATGCTCTTCTCTGATTTACAAAGCAAAAATATTTTCCCTTTATTTTTACAACATTTAAACAATAAAGTGTTGACACTTAGTAGAAGTATTTATTGCAAAGACCTACAACATAGTTTTCTTAATTCCTGTTCTGTCTTTCTATATGGATCACCAAGTTTAGAACATTAATATGACTTTCAGTGATGTCACAGATTGTGGTATGTTCAGTGGTATTCATACTGACATACTGATAACTACATATTCTTGTTACATGTGATATTTATTGAAAGATACTACGTTAATACTTTTCAAAATGTTGAATCAAATCAAATTACCAGCTACTATTCCGAAGGGAGAGTCCTGGTGTGGCACCATAGGATAAGCATGAAACCCCCAGATCTGTTTGAACCGCATGGTCAGAGGTCCAAACTGAACAGGTACTCCTTGGAACCCTATACAGTATCACTAAGAGTTGGAACAGACTCCACGGCACTTAACAACAACAACAATCTGAAGTTTGGAGGCCTGCTGCAATGTTTTGAGAGAAAGTACTGGAATGAAACATAAGGTTGGTGGTTCAAACTCACCAACCCTATACAGTGTCACTATAAATCAGAACTAACTGGATGGCAATTAACAACAACAACAATCTGAAGGTTAGAGCAAGAGTACAGCAGTAAGGAGAATCATATTTAATCAACTTCATATCAGTAAAGTTGTAGTGTGACACTGTAGGACAAGCACGTAACTACTAACCACAAGGCCAGCAGTTCAAACCCATGAGCTGTCAGTTTGAGGACTAAGGTGCACCTGACCCTAGCTATGGTATTTTCAATAGCTTCATATGCATGGGAAAGTTGGACAATGAATAAGGAAGACCACAGAAGAATTGATGCATTTGAGTTTTGGTGTTGGAGGGGAATATTAAAAGCACCACGGATTGACAAAAGAATTATCAAATCTGTGTTGGAGGAAGTACAGCCATAGTGCTCCTTGGAAGCCAGAATGGTCAGATTTCATCTCTCCTACTTCAGACATGTTATTAGGAGGGACCAGTCACAGGAGGAGGACATCGTACTTGGTAAGATGGAGGGTCAGTGAAAAAGTGGAAGACCCCCAACAAGGTGGATTGACACGGTGGCGGCAGCAATGGGCTCAAACATAGCCAATGATTGTGAGGTTGGCACAGAACTTGGCAGTGTTTCGTTCTCTTGTTCAAAAGGTCACTATGAGTCTGTACTGCCTCAACAGCACCTAACAACAACAACATTCCTTTTCTTAAAACATCAGAATTTATCAAGATGTTTTGAATACAGGAATCTTATGAAATATTTGCTAGAAATATGGATGAATGAATAAGTGCTATAGGATAAACACTGGACTGCAAGGCCGTTTAAATCGCAAGGTCTGCAGTTCACATCTACCAGTTGCTTCTCAAAGACCCTACCTAGAGTACCTATGAGTCAGATCCACCTGCATGGCACTTAACAACAACAACAACAACAACAACAACAAAGAGGCTACTAGAAAGTACAGGTAAGTTAATAAGATAGTACTGCTGTAAATAATGATATATGATGGAAAGATATGAGATACAGAGTGACTCACAGCCATATAGGAGATAGCTTTTAACAATTTTCATAATTCTTCATTTAAAATAAAACTTTCATATGACTGATAATTGGTTTGTCTTTGTGGGATGAAAATTTTCTAAACTTAAATTGTAATGATTGCTGATTGTACAACTTCATTAAAAATTAGTGAATTGTGCACTTTATATGCACAAATTTATGTGCTTATATGAATATTTCAATCAAGCTATTTATTGAAAAGAAATTCAACAAAATCACATAGGGACGTCAGCCTATGAAATATATAAAGCACTATAGAGCCAAAAAAGCACATGACCACTAAAATAATTGCATTATGAAAAGTATTAAAAAGACTCTTTAAAAAGTCTTCTGGGAACTTTCAAACCCTGGAGACACTGTAAATGAGCACGACCATCTGAAATTGGTTTCTGGCTTCTGTGCTTGTCTCCAATAGGCTAGAGCACGTCTCCCTAAATGCTTCATACTGCTCTGGAATCCGGTGTCTCCTCAGCCTTCTGAGTCAGCCTGACAGAGACTGGCAGGACTGCTGTATGGGCTCTGTAAGTAAAACTGCTTTTGTTCACCAAAAGCTCTAGACTCTAGATGAAGTAATTTTTTTTTTTTATCTGTAGGGAAGAATTTCCTCACTATGTTCAGAATTATATTAAACAAGGGGATAGTGAGCTGAGGAAGATGGTATCATTTGTTCTGAAGATGGTATAATTTGTTCTTCCCAAGAAATCTGTAGATTCTGTTCAGCTTAAGAATCTTGGTGTGGCACTGCGGGTTAATGCGCTAGACTGTCAGGTCAGTTTCAACTACAAGGTAGGCGGTTCAAGCTCATCAGCTCCTAGGAAACCCTGTGAGTCAGAACTGATTCATCGGCACTTAATAACAACAGGTGGGGGTTGGATACCCTGTGGGTCCTTAATCAAATGGCTTAATCAATGAGCTGACATGTTTTTCAATAACAGTGGTTTCTTTAAGAAAACCAAAAAGTATGTAAAGTCTATATCTCTAAATCCAATTTTGAATGCCTACAACATATCAAGCACTATATTAATTGCTGTGCATAGCCATACAGATGAGGAAACTGTAGTAAAGGAAGTCTAAATTACTTATAGGTCTCAGGGTCGCAATGAATTAAAATCTATTTGATGGGAGTTAACAGCAATATATGTTACAGTAAAATGATCATATTCAGAGCATGAATATTGGAGCTAAAAAAAAAGAAAGCTTGGATTTAAAATATGAAGCTCTGTCAGTTACTGTTTGTGTGTGATATTGAATATATTTCTTAACCTCTCTGACACTCAGTTTCTTCAAAAGAGAGAATGCTTATGACTGGCTTAGCACAGTAACATTCACAGAGCAAGTGACCGATACTGGTAACCAGGTCAATATGAGTTGGAACCATCTCAACGACCCTTAATAACATTTAGTAATATATCATTGTGCAAGGTCTCAAAACTAGCTAGTGGCTGAGCAATGATATGAACCCAGGTCAGTCACATACTATAACCATGCCACTGAAAATGACCTGGAGAATATTTGTTGTTGTTGTTAGGTGCCACCGAGTTGGTTCTGATTCATATCTCTAGTATACGGTTTCCGGGGCTATAAATCCTTATGGGAGCAGAAAGCCTTACCTTTCTCCTGCAGAGCAGCTGGTGGGTTTAATTTGCCCACCTTGTGGATTAGCAGTACAGTACTTACCCTACAGTGATGATGCTGTACAGTCTAATTCAGTAGCTGCAAGCTGCAGCTCATAACAGCACAGTGAAAAAAGAGAATTATTGTGATCAGAGTGAACAGGAAAATTCCTTGAGAGATTATAGTTTATTTTTCACAAATTCTAACGAAGATTGTGTCTGGATTGGAGAAATTAATGGGACCGATTCTAGGGTAACAGCAGCACAGAGGAATCATTTGGGGAAATTTTAGTGTCTCTCCCTAATAAAACCCAATATTTCTGCTTTATTCTTTAATATGAACAATTAAGTTACTACAAAATAGGAATGATGTAATGAAATACAACTTCAAATATCTATTTCCAACCAGATTGCTATTACATAGCCTTCACATAAAGATCTTCTAAGGCTACAGTCTTTACTTTTCAGAAGTAATATCAGTAAAAATAGAATAAATATTTGTATGTAGGAAATGAAGAGAGTGTCCTGAGAGGTGATTCCAATTAGATGATTTGCTAGCATTTGATTGTTGTTGTTGTAAAGTACCATGGAGTTGGTTCCAACCCTACATAGGGTTTCCGAGGCTGTAAATCTTTATGGGAGCAGACCGCTCACATGGAACCGCTGGTAGTTTCTAACTGCCGACCTTGAGGTTAGCAGCCTGATTCATAACCACTACATTACCAGAGTTCCTAGCATTTAATATTATTTACTAATAAATGAAATGTAGGAGAAAGTGCCAAATCTGGTATGGGAACAAGCATAAATTTTGTTTGACTCATAGTGACTGAGGTGGCTAAAAGCTTATGAGTATATATTTCCCATAAGGGTAGATAAAATATTTTCTACACATTTATTTCACCAGCTCCAAGCACAGATCTCTGATTTGTTCTCCTAAATATGCAAGTTACTTTTCTTAATTGCAAATTTGACTGCCTCACTTGCCTCTCATGTTTCATTATTTCCTTTCAGTTTAAGTCCAGAATCTGCCATAGCTTGAAAGAATCTGCTAAACTTTTGAAAAATGGAACTCAAGAGAGATCATAATTCGATTTCAGATTTGTGAGTCATTTGGCTATAAGTACTATTTAAAGCCATGGGAATAGCTTAAGATATACAACGGAAAGCCTTCGGAAAGCAAGAAAAGAAGAAGTGTAAGAGCAGAATCATGTAGAGCATCACAATTTAAAAAGCAAGAAACAGAAACATAATTTGAAAAAGAAGAGAAAAAAAAAAAAAAAAACAGAGCAACAATTTTTAAAGTTAGAGAAAGCATCAAGGAGGAGGAATACAGTTTCAAGGAGGAGGTGATCAATATTGCCAAATTTTCAGATGAGTGAGAAAACGTTAATCTGAAAATTAACTCTTGGCCTTGGCACTTAGAAAGTTGTTAATGGCATCAGTTGGGAAACTTTCTGAGACCCCAGATTGTTACTAAAGGAATGGAAGTGACAAGCAAAAGCAGACTATTTGTCAAATAACTTTTTTTTTGATTGTTCATGGCATAAAATTCAGGGATAAATGGAGTTTATATCTTATATCTCTTATTATCTAAGTATAGTGGATAATGAGGAAAAATGTTCAATATATTTTGGTTGAACAAAATGAGCTTAAAATAACCTTATTAAAATGTGTGAAGCTTTCATTATTAGATTGGGGTAAACTAGTATTATGAATTACAGAAAGGAACCCAATAACATTGTGCATATAATAAAGAAAGTAAAGAACACTCCTGGTGTTAAATTAGAAGATAGGAGAATGAATTATTGGCTTAGTCATAATTTTTTTTTAATGCCTAAATTCCTTATGCTTTCTGTGGGATTAAAGATTTTCATGATCTGACCCTTGCTGATCTCTTTAGCTTCATCTTTCCTCACAAAGAAGGCTCCAGCACACCGTTTTCTCATAGCTGACCAACAAACTGTTCCATGTGTTGTTTATGCCAAGAACATACTTTTCTCACTTTTTGGTCTTGTGAATACACATTAAACCATCAAAGCGTTGTTGTTGTTGTTGTTGTTGCTAGGCACCTTTGAGTCAGTTCTGACTCATAGTGACTATACTCACAAATGAATGAACTCAGTCCAGTGCTGTCCTCACAATTCTTCTTGTTTGAGTCCATTGTTACTGCCACTGTGTCAGTCCATCTCATTGGAAGTCTTCCTCTTTTTCAGTGACCCTCCATTTTACCAAGCATGATGTACTACTCAAGGATCTGGTCCCACCTGACCACATGTCCTAAGTATGAAAGACGAAGTCTTACCATTCTCACTTCTAAGGAGCATTCTGGCTATACTTCTTCCAAGACAGATTTATTTGTTCTTCTGGCAGTCCATGGTGCTTTCAATATTCTTCGCCAACAACATAATTCAAATGCTATGATTCTTCTCCAGTCTTCCTTATTCATTGTCCAATATTCATATGCTTATGAGGTGACTGAAAATATCATGGTCTTGAGTAAGGTACAACTTAGTCCTCAGACAGACATGTTTGCTCTTTAACGCTTTAAAGAGGGCTTTTGCAACAAATTTACTTAATGTGATGCATCTTTTTATTTCTTGACTGCTGCTTCCATGAGCGTTAATTGTTGATTAAACAAAATCAATTCTTTGAACAACTTCAATCTATTCTCCATTTATCTTGATGTGATTTATTGGTACAGTTGTGAGGATTTTCATTTTCTTTACATTGAAATGCAACCTATACTGAAGACTGTAGTAGTTTATCTTCGTCAGTAAGTATTTTAAGTCATCTTGTCTTCCAGCAAGCAAACTATGTGTCATATGAATATCACAGGTTGTTGATGAGTCTTCCTCCAATTCAGATGCCATGACCTTCATATAATCCAGCTTCTAGAATTGTTTGCTCAGCATACTGATTGGATAAGTATGATGAAAGAATACAACACTGGTGCACACCTTTCCTGATTTTAAGCCATTCAAAATCCCCTTGTTCTGTTCTGATGACTGTCCGTTGGTCTGTGCACAGGTTCCTCATGAGCAAAATTTAGTATTCTGGAACGCTAACTCTTCCCAAACCTATATTCTATTATGATCCATATAGTCAAAAGCCTTTGCATAGTCAATAAAGCACAAGTAAACATATTTCTGGTATTCTCTACTTTCAATCAAGGTCCCTTAGATATCAGCAATGATATCCCTCATTCCTATATCTTCAAAATCATGCTTGAATTTCTAGCAACTCCCTGTTGATGTACTATTGCAATCATTTTAGAATTACCTTCAGCAAAATTTTACTTTCATATGATATTAATAGCATTTTTCAATGATTTTTAAATTTCATTTGGGTCTCCTTTTTTTGGAATGAACACAAATACGGATCTCTTCAAATGGATCAGCCAGATAGCTGTCTTCAAATTTCTTGGCCTAGGCAAGTGAGTCTCCGCTTGTGCATCAGTTTATTGAAACATCTCAATTTGTGTTCCATCAATTCCTGGAACCTTGTTTTTCATCAGTGCTTTCAGTGAAACTTGGATTTCTTTCTTCAATAGCATCAATTATTGATCATATATTACTTGCTGAAATGGCTAAACATCGACCACTTGTTTTTGGTACAATGACTATGTGTATGTCTTATACCTTCTTTTGATGCTTCCTGTGTCATTCATGTCATTCAATATGTTGGCCATGCTGTTGCTGAGTGCTGCTGAGTCAGTTCTGAATCATAGTGACCCTGTATAGGGTTTCAGAGGGTCAATCTGGCAGAAAGCCTTAGTTTTCTCCTATGTAGTTGGTGGGCTCAAACCACCAATCTAATGGCTCACAGCTCAATGCCTATCCTATGCAGTCACCAAGCTACCATTTTTGCCCATAGAATCCTTCAATACTGCAACCTGAGGCTTGATTTTC